AGTGATCGCCATTCTCCTTGCAGTAGTTCCACCACATACTCAGTCATAACCTGTAACTCTCCTCCCATGAAAAGCCCATGTCCCTTCAGCCTTCCCTATTCAAAGTTAATTGATACAACATTCTTTCCTATAACCCACAGCTGCCTATCTATGGAAGGTCAGCCTGAACATAATGGCCATGATGAGTCATCACAATTGTACATTATTCTCTTTCCCTCCCTGACTAATTCACACTACTGAAGTTGATAATTTTGTGTCCTTGTTTCTCCAGTGAACACAAATGTGAACAAACCACACCTAATGAAGTTGGCCCCCTCATCCGATTCCTTCATGAAACCATCATGAGACTGTAACACAGCAAGTGGAGCACAACTCTTAGCAGGTAGCCACTGCTGTGTCTCATTACTCTGCACCCTGTTACCAGGCAACAGGTCTTGCTCAGTCATTGTTTGGTGCTTCAGTGGGCCCCGCCCACAAGCAACCAACTGTCAATGAGTGACGTTAGTTGTCCTGCTTGGTTATTGGCCAGCACTGCAGTGGGCCCTGCCCATCAGTAACTGTCAATGAAGAACCACTGGGTAAGTGATTCAGTCAAGGGTCAGTGGTGGTCATCAGGTGGAGAGTGAGGTAAGAGGCAGATTCAGGCCTTCTCCCAGAGACCCTGCAGCTTACCCCAGCCTTGGGCCACTGGGTGAGCTGGAGGGCTCAGGGAATAGCCTGGGGACTATGTTCTGCAGGGCTCCAAAGCCCTCACTAAGGCCCTCTGCTAGCCTTGACCCAGTTCTTGAGGCCATGGTGAACTTCTCCATGCCTGTCTCTGTGACCTAATAGCAGTGGCCGTCTGCATGGGTCACAGTCTGTGAGACCTGGTCTCCTCTTTTGAGTGGCCTGAGGAGACTGAGGGCCAGATGGGTTGGGTGCCTGGCTCCCTAAGGGATGACAGCTGGGGAGGATGTGGGAACATGGCCCTGAAGGAACTGCCAACTGAGATCTGCCTCCTCTTGGTCAGGACTGGGACCTTGGAGAGTGAAAGTTGTGCATTGGGACTTTGTCCTTTCTGTTCAGGACACAGCATAACATTCATCTGGTAGAGAGGTACAGGGACATCATTACCTGACCATAACCGGACCTCAAGAACAAAGGTTCTGACACTGAGAAGTCTCCAACAACTAACCATGTCCATCCCTCACCTTTTGCTTTTAAAGCGACCTGCTGAAAGCTTTCAGTAACTCAGGTTCTTAGGGCATGAGCAACCCATCTCCTTGTACGAATCTGTAATAAACCTTTCTCTGTTCCAAACTCTTAATGTTTAGTATTGATGAGCTTCACTGTGCGTTGGGCACACGGACTTGTGATTTTTGTAACAAGACCATTGTGAAAGGCTTGTATTGAATGAATAAGATCAAAAGATTTCAAACTTCAAGTTTAAAGTCATAGATAGTAATGCAGTCTTTTCAACAAAATTTAAATATTTAAATACACACTGGAGATAATGAGCCATTTCCACACAAGTAAGTCCTTGTTCCCAGGATAAATGTGTCATGAGTTTTTAACATATTTTGACTTTGAATTATTCTGCAGTATATAGCATCTCAGACTAATCTCAAAAAACTGAAGACTTAGTTATTCCCAGTATAGTTCCTCTGAAGTGTGGTCCACTGGGAGAACTGGTTAAGAAATTTACCACATACTTCTTAAAATAAAGATTCACCCCAATATGAATTATTTGGTGAGTCCTGAGGACACACTGTTTCTTAAAGGTATTTCCACATTAAGTATATCTGTGTATTTTCTGTCCCGTATTAATTCTCTCATTATGCCAAAGGCATGGACATTTGAAGAAGCTTTACAACATTCATTACAGTTGTAAGGGTGCTCTCAAATATAAATCCTCTGATGCTCCACAGTTTTCATCTTTGGGTAAAACCACTAGTGTTGCACCTTTTTTTCCCATAGAGTCCAGTTGTTTTTAAACATGGCTGTTTATTAGAGATACATCTGGAGCTTTGGAGGAAAAAAGCAATACTTGGGCATTTATAGTTTTCAAAAAATTCCAAGATAATTCTGGTATGCATGTGGATTTTAAAAAATGATTACAGGTTTTTCCATTAAAAGGCAATTTTGGTGATATAGAATTCTCTTATTTTCTGTTGACCAATCATGATACAATGGTATTAAGTGAATAACAGTTACATAATCACAATAGTAAAAGATGTTTATCAGTTTTCACAATCAATAGCCAGCCAGAATTCAAAGATAATTATAATCGCAAGCCATAATAGGAACATGATTAACCTAACAATATAAAATAATTACCTACAATTTGGGGAATTAAGTAGAGTGATATGGTAAGCTGAAGTGCATACATGCACATGCTTTTATTGGCTCAGTCAGTCTATGTCTTTTGGTTGGTACATTTAATCCATTTACATTCAAGGTAATTATTGATATGTATGGTACTATTACCATTTTACTAATTGTTTTGAGTTTATCTTGTGTAGGTCTTTTCTTTCTCCTGTGTTTCCTGACTAGAGAAGTTCCTTTAACATTTGTTGTAAAAGTGGTTTGGTGATGCTGAATTCTCTTATTAACCTTTGCTTGTCTGGAAAGCTTTTGCTTTCTCCATCAAATCTGAATGAGTCTTGCTGGTTAGAGTATTCTTGGTTTATAGGTTCTTCCCTTTCATCACTTTAAATATATAGTGCCATTCCCTTCTGGCTTGCATAATTTCTGTTGAGAAATCAATTTTTTAGCCTTATGCGAGTTCCCTCGTATGTTGTAATTTTTCCCTTGTTGCTTTTAATATTTTATCTTTGTCTTAATTTTTGTCAGTTTGATTATTATGTGTCTCAGTGTGTTCCTCCTTAGATTTATCTTGCCTGGGACTCTGCACTTCCTGGACTTAGTTGACTATATCCTTTCCCATGTTAGCGAAGTTTTCAGCTATTATCTCTTCAAATATTTTCTCTGGTCCCTTTTCTCTCTCTCTCCTTCTGGGATCCCCTATCATGCAAATATTAATGTATTTAATGTTGCCCCAGAGGTGTCTTAGGCTTTTTTTTTTTTTCATTCCTCCCCCCGCCCCCCATATTCTGTTCTGCAGAAGTGATTTCCACCATTCTGTTCTCCAGGTCATTTATCTGTTCTTCTGCCTCAGTTATTCTCCTATTGATTCTTTCTACTGTATTGTTCAACTCTGTTGGTTTGTTCTTTAGTTCTTCGGTAAACATTTTTTTGCATCTTCTCATTATATTTCTGAGATCCTGGATCATCTTCATGATTATTCTGAATCATGAATAATCTGGAAGGCTGTCTATCTCCACTTCATTTAGTTGTTTTTTTTGGGGTTTTATCTTGTCCCTTCATCTGTGACATAACTCTTCTTTTTCATCCTAATTAACTTAGAGTAATGTGGCTTTTGTTCTAGCTGCTATAGAATTGTGGTTCTTCTTGTTTCTTCTATATGCCCTCTGGTAGATGAGGCTAAAAGGTTTGTGTAAGATTCTTGATGGGAAGGACTGAGTGGGAAAAACTGGGTCCACTCTGGTGGGCAGGGCCTTACCAAGTAAAACTTTAATCCAATTATGTGCTGATGGGTGGGGTTGTGCTCCCTCCCTGTTGGTTGTTTGGCCTGAGGCGACCCAGCTCTGGGGTTTATGGTCAGGTTAATGGCGACCTCCAAGAGGACTAACACCAAGGGGGACCTTCCTAGACTGCTGCTGTCAGTGACCCTGCCCCCATGGCGAGCCATTTTTGACCCATGGCTCCAGAGAAGACCCTCCAACTCCAGCAGGTAGGTCTGGTTCAGTCTCCTATGGGGTCACTGCTCCTTTCCCTTGGGTCTTGGTGCATGCCAAGATTTTGTTTATGCCCTCCAAGAGTGAAATCTGTTTCCCCCAGTCCTATGGAAGTTCTATAATCAAATCCCGCTGGCCTTCAAAGTCAGATTCCCTGGGTATTCCCAGTTCCTTTGTTAGATCCCCAGGCTGGGAAGCCTGAGGTGGGGCTCAGAACTCTCCCTACAGTGGGAGAACTTCTTTGGTATTATTGTTCTTCAGTTTGTACATCGCCCATCCAGCCAGGATGGGATTTGATTTTATAGTGTTTCCACCCCTCCTACCATCTCCTTGTGGCTTCTTGGTCTTTGGACCAATGTCCTCCTGTTGATGGTTGTTCAACAGCTAGTTGCAATGTTGGTGCTCTTGCAGGAGAAGATGAACACTTGTCCTTCTACTCCACCATCTTGAACTGTTAACTAGCATGCACATTATTTTTTGGTGGCTTCTCTCAAGGATGTATATTCTTAAGTCTAGTGATTTCTCTCCAATATAGAGTCTGTTGTTGCATGATATTTGAATTCAAGGGAAAGTCTTTACCATGTTTATTGCATTTTGAAGGTGTCAATCCTGTATTGTCCCCCAACATTTGCTATATGGGTAAAATCCTTGCCACACACTATACTTGTGTGCTTTCACTCCAGAATACAGATCCCTTTATTTAATGAAAAGTGAACAATAATTTGAAACTTTGCCACATTCATTACATTTGTTTTGTATGGACTACTTGGTGAACCTGGAGTTTAAGGCAATAGCTAAAAGCCTTGCAAAACTCAGTACATCTGTAAGCCTGTATGGATTATGGATTATCTGATGATTAGTGAGGTGTAAGCCCTGAGCAAAAGGTTTTCCACACTCATGGAATTGGTAAGGTTTCTCTCCAGAATGAATTCTTTGGTGAATCCTGAGGTAGGATTATTGTCTAAAGGCTGTGCCATACTCAATACATTGGTATGATTTCTCTCCAGTATGAATACTCTCATGAAGCCTAAGGTGTGAACACCTGCTAAAAGCCTTGCCACATTCATTGTAAAGTCTCTTTCCAGTATGGGTCACCTGGTGTTTACTGAGGCTTCAATGGCTAAAGGATTTGCCACACTATACTTGCTACATTTCTATGATTTATCTCCAGAATGAATTCTTTGGTGAATAGTGATGTCAGACCATTGCTGAAAGGCCTTGCCACATTCAGTACACTTGTATGGTTTTTCTCCAGTATGAATCCTCTCATGATATCTAAGATGTGAAGGCTTTATAAAAGCCTTGCCACATTCAGTACACTTGTATGGCCTCTCTCCAGTATGAATCCTCTCATGATGCCTAAGATATGAAGGCTTAATAAAAGCTTTGCCACATTCATTACATTTGTAAGACTTCTCTCCAGTATGAATTACCTGATGGTAAGTTAGGCTTGAACGATCACTAAAGGCTTTCCCACACTCATTACATTTGTAAGGTTTTTCCCCGGTATGAATTCTCCGATGACCTGCAAGATGTGAATTCCGACTGAAGACCTTGTCACAGACCTCACATTTATATGGTTTCTCTCCAGTATGGATGGTTTGATGTCTAGTGAGGTGTGAACTCCGAGTAAAGGATTTGCCACACTCGCTACATTTGAAAGGTTTCTCTCCAGCATGGATTCTTTGGTGAATTTTGATATCAGACCATTGCCTGAAGCCCTTGCCACATTCAGTACACTTGTATGGCTTCTCTCCAGTATGAATTCTCTCATGAAGCCTAAGGTGTGAATGTTTGATGAACGTCTTGCCACATTCATTACATGGGTAAGACTTCCCTCTAGTATGGACTACCTGATGGTTGATTAGGCTTGATCGCAAAATAAAGGCTTTGTCGCATGCATCACATTTGTAGGGCTGCCCTCGAGTATGAATTCTTTGATGTTTTAGAAGCTTGGAATTACGGGAAAAAGCCTTGTTACATTTACTACAATGGTAACGCTTCTCTCCAGTATGGATTACTTGATGGCTCCTGAGGCTTGAACACACTCTAAAGGCTTTGCCACACACATTACATTTGTATGGTTTCTCTCCAGTATGAATTCTCTGATGAGTTTCAAGGTTTGATTTTCTATTAAAAACCTTGCCACACTCATTACATTTGTAAGGTTTCTCTCCAGTATGAATTCTTCGATGAGTTGCAAGGTTCGAACTCTGACTGAAGTCCTTGCCACATGTATCACATTTGTATGGCCTCTCTCCTGTATGGACTACCCGATGTTTAGTGAGGTGTGAGACATGAGTAAAGGTTCTGTCACAGTCATTACACCTATAAGGTTTTTCCCTATGTACTTTATGGTCTTTTGTTAGTATTGAAGAATGGATAAAATCATTCCCATACATGTTAGAAGTGTTGGTTTGGACATTAGGAGGAATTCTTTGGAGAGCTGAAATTGAGGAACTATTGTTGATAACCTTTTCAACTTGATTACATTCAAAAATTTTCCTTTCCATTTGAAATATCTGCAATTCATCCTGAAAGCTTAATGCAAGTTTATTTTCAGTTGGTTTGTTTCCTGCATTGCTTCTACCACATTGATCTTTTCTATCAGTGAACTTTTCATCATGGGTTACAAGCACTCCTTTGTAATTTCTTTCATCATCTCTCCACTGACACTCAAACTCAAGCATATTGCCTTCGATTTCCCTTAAGTAAAAATCTTTGACTCCATGGCTTTCATGTCTTCTCAAAATCACTGTTTGGAATGTATCTGTTGAGTTAGTGTTCTCCTTTGGTTGTAATTTCTTGATAATATGTATGGGAGAGATATCTACAAAATACAAAAAAATCATAGGTATATTATTAATTATAATTCATAAATATTTTATGTTGAAAACATATTATACCAAAAATAACACTTACACTGAAGGTAGTTATGAAACTTCCCAACCACGATCTTCGAAATTTTGAAGAAATAGGATTCTTTAATAAAGAAGGTGTGATCACATGAAATTCAAATTGATTTTAGGGTAGCCTCATTTCCAACACTATATGACAAAAACACTCAGGTTGTGTAAACTTAAGTTAGCTCTTAAAAAATGGCTAATCCCATGACCATGAACCCAAAACATAAACATATTGACTGTAACTGAAGAGAAACATATTAGACATATTTTCCACATGCTTATTACACATAATCTGCATACAGTATATACATCATTACTGTATATAAATTTAATACTTAAAAATAAGTAATATAATGGTAAATAATCCAAAACAAGCTTATCTAACAAGTAACCTAAAAAAATGGCAGTTTAGAATTGCAAAACAAATACAGCACTGAGAAAATAAAGAATTTAATGAGGATATTTAAAAAATGAAATATTTTCCTGAATTACCTGTTATAAAAGTATCAATTCCCAGGAAAAAATAGGCATTTTATAACATTAACAAGTAAATGTCAGTTATATTGCATAATATGTTCTGAAAGACCATCAACTGTAAATCACAATAAAAATTAATAAACACACTATTCTAGTAACCCTTTCTATTCTAGTAAAGTAACCCTTTACTATTGTAGTAAAACAATGAGTAATAAGTAACCATGTTGTACAACATTATATTCTATGGAATTCTAAACATTCTTCCTAAGAAGAGAATTTTACCTTGGAAAGGGCACACAATATGAAAACTGTAAAAGGTATTGACATAACTGATTTCTAAATTATCAGGTCAGGAAAGTATATAACATTATGGGAAAGATGGAACGCAAAAGGAGAAGGGGGTGGCAGAGGATGAGATGGTTAGATAGCATCACTGACTCAGTGGACATGAATCTGAGCAAACTCCAGAAGATCATGAAAGACAGAGGAGGCTGGCATGCTACAGTTCATGGGGTTGTAAAGAGTTGGACACGACTTTGCGAATGAACAACAAAAGAACAGAAACTGAAGAAAGAAGCCAAAAGTCACATGATTTCATGATAGCCATTATATAATAACCAAGCAAAGCAATTTCTTATCTATGCAGTGCCCTTTAATTCTTCAGCTTATTGTCCTCAGATATGTAATATGAAGTATGTGTTTAAGATATGTAATATGAAGTATGTGTTTAAGATATATATTAACTAAGGTCACAGACTGCATTGTTGAGGACAATCTGTAAAATAAAAGCATATAAAATATAATGCACACAAAGGGATATGGCATAACAAAACATGACAAAGTAGATATATCTCATTAAACAACAGTAACTTAGAGTTTTTCTATAAAATGTGCAACATTATTACATATAAGCTATCTAACAGTACTTATTTGTTTTAAAAGCCTGAGGTAAACTACCATTATTTTTCAAATGAGGGCACAAGACTTAGAAGGCTATGTACATAACCCTGAATTACAAAGAAAGTGAGAGAAGCAGGAGTGTGATGCTGGGAGTCCCTGGTGGTCTAGTGTTTAGGATTTGGGACTGTCACTGCTATGGCCTGGGTTTGATTCCTGGTCAGGGAACTGAGTTCCCACAAGCTCTGAGGTGTGGCAAAAATAAAAAACTTTAAAAATGAAAAATAAGTAAAAAAGACTCTTTTCAATATACATGCACCCCTATGTTCACAGCAGAGCTATTTATAGTAGCCAAACATGGAAACAATCTAAATGACCATCAACAGATGAATGGATAAAGATGTTGTGTGTCTACACATATAAATACACACACACACGCTGGAATATTACTCATCCATAAAAAAGAATGAAATAGTGCCATTTGCAGCATCATGGATGGACCTAGAGATTATCATACTAAGCGAAATAAGTCAGAAGGAGAAAGACAAATATCATATGATATCACTTGTATGTCGAAATGCAGCACAAATGAACTTATCTATGAAACAGAAACAGACTCACAGACATACAGAAGAGACTTCTGGTGGCCAAGTGTGCATGCACAGGGACAGGTTGGGAGTTTGCAAATAGCAGATGCAAGCTATTATATATAGGACGGGTAAACAACAAGGTCCTACTGTACAGCACTGGGAACTATATTCAATATCCTGTGATAAACACAATAAAAAAAAGAATGTATACATATGTATAACTGAATTTACCTTGCTTTACATCAGAAGACAATACAACATCGTATATCAACTATACTTCAATTAAAAGAAAAAATCTCGGGGTGGGGGGACAATTTTCTGTCACCAAATAACCCCACTCCATAGGGAGAGTCCCTAGAAGTTGTCTATCCCCTAAAAGTGTTATTATCACAGCAAAAAAAATATAGGATAAAATCTCAGATTCTAGGAAAGTGTATTTCAAAGGCAATCATCAGAGGCAACTTAAGACAATAGGAAATCAGGAAAAGTCTACATTCCCAGACCAGGTAGAGCAGTGGAAGAGTGATGAAAATACAAGACAGGAATGGGGATCCTGCAGGATCTTGAGATGTGTGCTGTCCTCACAGACACTGAGTTAAGAATCTCAAAGGCCGACATATGCTCCCCATGTAGGACCTAGGATCAAAGAGAAGATCTGTCTACTGTCTTTACAGTTCTCCTAAGTAACAATCCCAGAAGGAAGGGATGAGGGATCTGAGCAGGCAGATGGGGCTTGAGACAGCTCTGAGCAGGTTCTGGGGTGAGAGATGGAATCAGAGAGCACCAGTGGTTTCCTACCTCCTGACTACATCTTCCTAGAACAGCGAGTAGGGATGGAACTAGGACAGGTCTGAGTGTGGTGCTACAGAGCAGTTCAGTTCTTACGTGCAGGGACCAAGAACTGAGCAGCCAATGAAAGCACACACAGAAGTGGAGATGCAAAGGCAACAGACCCCTCTGAAAGAGACCATCCCACGTTCCTCAAAGTCAAGCAACAAAGCTGACAGGAGTCAAATGGCAGGCTGTTATAGATCATACAAAGACCTTCCCTTTGTCTCTGTAGGATCTGTGGCACCACTGGAGGGCGAGATACATTTTACATACTAAAGAACAGAGTGAAAAGATGGGGAGAACAACAATTTCCTCTGAGAGTTTACCAAAAAATAAACTCTTTTCCCACAGAACTCTTCCACTTGGGGAGAGATTCCCTGAAACTATTAATGGTGTGGTTTCTTCGCTGTTCATCTGAGATCTGACCTGTGTCTACACCTGGTACTTTCCACCCCTTTAGTCATTTTTTTCTTTCTTTTTTTATTTTTATTTTTTGCTATTTTCACTTCCCTCTACAGGGTCCAGTGCTCTCTTTTCTTTACTCCAAAATGGAGATAAGAATATTCAGGTCAGAAACAGAAATTATTGCTAATTGCAAGAAAGAAACATCACATGCTATATTGTTTCCAGAACCCCAGCTCTTTGTTCAGCTGAGGAGTGAGGACATTATGGGGGGGTTGTGGAAAACACTTCAATCCACAGCTTGCCTCCTTCTGAATGCATAGGGGAATCGCTTCTTAGCCTTTTGGCTAAGATCAAGTGAATGCACAGGGAAGAGTGTAATATGCAGACAACTTGCTTGTAGTAAAAAGGTAAGTGGGACTTCCCTGGTGACTCAGTGGTTAAGAACTGCCTGCCAGTGCAGGGGACACAGGTTCAATTCTTCGTTCAGGAAGATCCCACATGCCGCAGAGCAACTAAGCCCATGTACCACAACTGCAGAGCCCCTGCGCCCTAGAGCCCGCCTACTGCAGCAAGAGAAGTCACAATGAGAAGCCCAAGCACTGCAACTGCACTGCAGCTAAGAAAGACCCAGCACAGCCAAACAATAATAAATAAATAAAATTTTCAAAACAGGGAAGTGTAGGTTTTAAGTTTGCTACAGGCTTTATGTATTTTTAAGCTCTGGACCCACCCTCAAGGTATCATAACATGGGCAGATCAAATGAGGAAAGGGCAATTTCAAAGTCCTCATGCCACATTATGAAGCTTTTGGCCTCTGATTCAACAGGGCTTCAAGCTCAGCCAAGCAAGGCAGGAGCTCCCAAAAGGCATGCAAGGGAAAATGTAAAGATACCCAAGGACAGATCCCAACTTGAGAGGGAAGTGATCCTCACCCACAGAGAGCAGGTTCCTGTAGGTCTCCAGCATTACGTCCCGGTACAAAGTCCTCTGCGCAGGGGCCAGGCATTCCCACTCCTCAGGAGTGAATTCGATGGCCACATCCTCGACAGTCAACTGCTGCTGAAATGAAAACACATATCACCAATGGGGTCATAAGAAGAGCTCTTATCTTCATACAGAATGAGAAGAGGATTGACTCAGTTGAAGTGTGTATTCTGACAGATTCATATAAAGGTATTTAGAGCAAATTATGCATCTCTAATTGCTTTCCCATAGGAGATTACAATGGCCTCCAGAT